TCTAATTAATGCTCCAATTGATTAGTGGGCTTTAAAATGATATATTAAGTATTTTTCTCTTGGAGGTTTTAGAATACCTTTTGAACTTTTCTAATACCCTTCAACCTCCACAAAACATCGAGTCCATGGCCATTCCCCATAATTTGATGCGCCCCACCCCCCACCACTCCTCCTCCTCCTCCTCCTCCTCCTCTCTCCTCCTCTCTCCTTTATTGGTGCTTTTGGGTTCAATTTCACATCTGTATGTAGTTATCTAGTTCATGTTTTGTAGTTTGTTTAATTAATGAATGAAATATTGTTCTCTTTGAACGCAAAATGCTTTTGTTTTCTAAGTTTTATCATCTTATAAAATAAAATATTTATTGAGTATGAATAAAATATTGCTTTTTTTAGGGCACGCCACTTCGTTTTTTTGTGTTATTTTTCCTATCAATTGAAGGTTCTCTTGGGAGATTAACTTGATGAAGAGCTGTTCAATAAGTTTTCAAATTATCCTCAACTTCGCTTGCATAATTGTTAAGTTCCCCATTATTAGGTATTTGTCTATTTCTTATAATCTTTTTACAATCATAAACTTAAGAGGTCTTGTTAGTATTCAAAGTCAATTTCATTATTGTCCAAGTTCGCAGTATGAATTGACTGGATTAAAATACTTTTGATTTCCTTACGTCTATAACATATTCTAGTTTATTTCTCTTTGCATTATAGTTTGCTATTGTGCTACTTCATGTAGCAACCTTTATTTAACTAATTTTATGCACTTCTGTAAATTTTTCATTGTTCAAACATTTTGGCATTCTTTTGAACAGGTATTTTTTTAACTATTCTCCGTTGCATAAACTGCTCTCTTGTATGCATTTGTGTATGCATTTATGCGCTTTTGTTATAAGTATTTGAGGGTAAAAATGACTTCGAAGTAAAACATGGATTGTAATAACAATAATTTATAATTTAGTGACCTCCAATGAGAACTTATTATTAAGCTTACAATGTTGGCGTAGTGTTTTAGGTTCTTATATAATTATATTTACCTAACTAATATTGTTAATTATCATCTTTCTTTTTAGTAAAATATATTAATTATATAATGATATGAGTATAATAAGGACAATTATTAAAAATTGCTAGAAAAAAAAAGAAAAATACAACTACTTAGAAAGAGATAAGAAGACCAAGAATGAAGCATCTTATGGATTATAATAATCATAAAATTATTCATTTGGTTCATTTAGCTTGAAGCCTTATATATTTGTGAGTATCAGTACGTTTTCTTCTAATTGTAGTCCATTTTGGCATAAAGGATATGATATTTCTTATCCGTCGGAGAACCGGCAATCTGAATCATATAGTTGTTGCAATATATTATGGTTATTATGCTCCCATTTAGGATGAAGCGAAATTTTTTCAAAAATTTGGGGGTTGTTTTCAATGATAATGTTTGTAGTTGATAAAGTGGTTAATACCAATGGGCTTAAAGTGACCAGCACTAACGAGCATAGTAGTGGTAGGAACGTCAACCACTGTCTCCAGAAGAGAGTTTGAACCTGGCTCCAACTGGGTAGGAGGTTGAATGCGAGAGGTCATACACATAGTATTTAGAATTATTTAGCCCAAGACGAGCCTTAAAATAATATAATAATTTATGCTCATATACATGACAGGAGGAGCATTATGATAGGATATTTTCAAAGATCACCCTTTGCCTATATCAGATGGTGGAGACCTAATATGCACCTCCTTATCAATGGGATTTAACATCCAATTACACCAAAATTTTGGCTATAGAAAGCTTTGAATAATGGGTTGTTGTAACATTATCCTTTGAAAGGTTTTAAAAATAGAAGCGAAGGAGAATAAAATAAACTTGTTGAAATAATTTAGATAAAGTCGTAGAAATGAGATTAATAGAGGGATAATTATAGTGTAGTTTGCTTCTAAAAAAGTTTTATGATGATACGTTGAGGTTTGATGAGCCCAACAGAGGAGTCACCCATCTGTTATAAATTTGATTTGAATTTGTGAATTACCTCTATATTAGGATGACCACCCATAGAAACTTTTCCAACTATTGAGGGGGTGAGTGGCCTAGCAGCTCGTGCATCTCCTCATTGATGAAGAAGATAGCAGGCTTGCTTTAATAGGATGAAGTCTTATTTTAATTTTGTTGCTATTGAATCTTGTTGAAAAATTAGTTGAAAATTGTTGGATGGAGGGGTGTAAACCAATGACTTTTGAACCACTGACAACATCAACAACTGAGTGTAGTGGATGTGTTGTGGGAGGCGCATAAACCATTTGAAAGGATACAAGAGGAGCTACAGAAAAGTTAGGTGCCATCCGGGAAGAGGTGGCGACCTCACTGGAGGACAAACCAAAGCCATACCAGTAGGTAATGTTGGAGGAGGAGATTGGATTAGAAGAAACACCAATGTATCTAAAAAATGGGATGATAAAAGATCCCACATATGTGACTAATGCAAGAGAACAAGTACAACAATGAAAACAATAGTAGCAAAAAATTATAATTATGGATGAAGATAACAGTAAGATGAGAGCTGTCCTAGGTGTTAGAGTCTATCAAGTACGAGCAAGTTGCAATGCATTAGGCATTGTATCATAGGTAGCTCGTGGCGAGCAATCTAGAACCAAAATGTACTATGAGAGAACGGAAAGAGATCTCTACCCCATGGTAGCGGAGACACAGAATTGAACAAGTGCAAGATGGAGGTGTGGACATCACATGTTGAATGGTGCACATCCCACCAAAAGCGGGCAACTACTTGCATGCACGCTGTCCTATTACTTCTTGCTGAACAAAAATGACTTTAAATGCCCCCCTCGCCACCTGTGCACGCATGTGAAATGCTTGTTCTTAACGGTCATGCAAGAGAAACCTTTAGCTTTTTCCCAACTATTTAGGGTCTTCTTTATGAATGGTCGATCTCCATTCTGCCTTGTTAATGGTACATGAAGTGTTAATCTTATTTTACACAAATCTTCTTGCACAATTTCTATCCAAATTATCTTGGTCGACCAATATTCTTCTTAATCCTTCAACATTAATACCCTTCTTAATAGTGCATCTTTGGCCATCATTTTACATGCCGAAATTGCTAAAATTTATTTATATAATATTTACCCTTAAAATATATTGTTTCAATTGCCATTCTAATAATATTGTTATGCCATCCATCCTAATTTTCTAACACTTCATTTTAACATTCTCATTTTGAACACTTTTTTTGTTCAACAATGACCTATCCAATACTCAGCCTTTTTCAATATAATTGAATTAATCATAATTGTGTAAGTTACTTTTATTTCTACGAGTCTTCTCTCATTGTATAGTACTCTCAAGGTATTCCTACTTTTTAACAATCCAAACTTACCTAGAAGCTATAACATCCTCTCTCTCTCTCTCTCTCTCTCTCTCTCGGTTTTGTATGGGATCCAATACACTTAAATCTATCATAACTATATAATATAGAACTATGTCATATGAAAAAAAACATATATTAAAGTAGACCACTTTATATATCCATGTTACCTCCATAACTGATACAAAATGATTCTTAGGTAAACTTTTCATGGTTTTAAATATTTTTGTCACTCCATATTTTCTTACAATACTAATCAATGCTCCATCATACATATCTTTAATAAAAACAATATTTTTCCTGATGCACTCCCATTTATCCTCCTTGCACTATCATGTTCCTTCTGAGGTGTATTAAATATTATATATAGATCTATTTGTTGCTTCCTATAATTATGCTATATGCCTTAACGTCTATAATAGATATTTTTGCTTAAATAAAATTTATTCTTCGACATCAATTCAAATCTCTAAATTTATGTTCTATTACAATAATTTTGTTGTATTACTTACTAGTTCAGTTCCTTTATAAGAATTGCTGTTCTAAGCATCTCTTTATCTCTTGTGTATTGATACCTAACTTATTACTTGCCAATCAACTTCCACTTGTATCATTTTTAATTCTGTAAATTCCAATAGATACTCATATGGATCCATATTTTATTTAGTTCAATGTGCTCATCGAAAATGATTTCTCTCACAGAACTTTCACTTAATAATTTATTATAGTAGTTCATCTTTACATGATGTATTTGTTTTTTACTTACATATTTTTGTTATGATTCTTAATACATTCAACTCATATTGAAGTGTCTATATATTTTGCGGCTCCCCTCATCTATTTTATATTTCTACCTTTTCTTGTTTCCAAGAACTTATCCTATTATATGAATCATCAAATTTAGAAATTTTGTTTTGCTTACCACGTCTACATGAGTTCTTGCTCCTTTATAATCATTGTTAGTCAACATGTGATTTCCTTTTGCTAATTTTTAAATGGCACGTTTATGTTTTTTTTTTTTTATCACTCTGATTTCAATGGTTCTCAAATTTTTTTGGGTGATGATTCATCAAACTGCTCATGCTTTTTTTTTTGCCATTTGGATCTTTGATCTGATTAAATATATCTTTGCTCATGCTTTTTCTTTTGCCATTTGGATCAAACTGCTCATGCTTTTTCTTTTGCCATTTGAAACTAATACTTTTTAGGCATTTAACACATAGCACTCAATTCTTATGTATTTACATATCTAATACCTAAACATTGATTTTTTACATTTATTCCACCCAAATCTTTCATATCACATAAAAAATATCACTAGTGTAACCTTTAAAATGAAATACATTATTTCATGCATAGGTAAGGTGGCATTTATGTAAAAATTGAAGTTTAGGTGTTAGATATTTAAATATCTAATAATTTAGTGGTAGGCATGTAAATCTTCCTACTTTTTAATATGCATGCAGAAAAGTTTAAAAAGGTACACGACGTCACGCCTTGAAGGATTTGGGTGTTCTTTCTTTTTAATTCTCCAAATTTTCTTTCTGAAAAAATCTTATTTTATTCATGGTGTGTTGTCTTAAATTCTAAGCTTGCGTCTAATTGACATTTCTTATATTGCAGCGGCTGGAACATCAGCTCGTCCTCGCACCTTTAGAAAGGTAACACTTTGTTAATGTTCTGTAAGCTTGAAACGATAATTTTGTATAAAATTATATTGCAATATTTTATGTCTGTTTGTATATGCAAGACATTTTTATTACCTCTTTATCATTGCAAGTGAACTTTTTCTATATCAAATGTAATTGTAACAAAATATGTGTAAAATACTTATATGCCTATGAAGTTTTGGTCTTATTTAGGTTTACAGCGTTGATAGCTCCAAGTTCTGAAGCAGAAACACAGAAACTATTACATTTATGCCCCTATCATAAATAGAATTTTCAAATATAGTGAGCTAATAATTATCCTTCCAGCTCAATTTATATTCCTTTTTTTTCTGTTAATGTTTCTCTACCTTTGTTCAACATGTCCGCTCACTAAGATAGGCTTTGGGTAATTTGCCTCACTGATCATTGGGTGGCTGGATAAATTAGCTGTTGTGATAGTAGAGTTAGATTTTCTCTTAAGCCGGTTCTCAACATTCCAGTTTTCTTGTAGAAGAGGGGGAGAGAAAGAAGGGTGAATGGCTTATTGCTAAAAGATGGGGAGATGATGGCCGATGGGAAAATGATAGAAGGAATTAAGAATTGACTCAGTTTAGTTTCTAGTTGCCTAAGTTTACTACATTTATTGTAGGAATAACTGTAACTTGCTCTTTAATTATCTCATACTTTAGAAAGAAAAGGGGGTGGGAGGGGGGATTGGGTGGGTTAGAAATGGATTAATTTATGGATTAACATTCACAGTTATGTATTTCCTTCCATATATTGAGTACAAGTGCATAAAGTTGAACTAGTTGAGGGTTTCATAGCTATGATTTAAATACATTAGTGGACAATTTTTGGAAAATATTGTTAAAATTGTATCTCTCCCCCTCACTAAGTTATTGATCCACCCCCTCTCTAAAGAGAGAGGGAGGGAGGGGGAGCAAATATTGAATTCTTAACATTGGGTCTCTAAATTTATTCATTTCTTTTCCTCTACACCCCAGTCTATTGATTCAGCATAAAGTTTAGGCTGTTGTATAACAAGCGTGTGAGAAATAGAGGATGGTGTAAGGTTGTAGACAAGTTGAATCGAACTGAGCAAGAGCCTGTTCGAGCTTTTATGATTGTTTTCAAGCTCAGTTTTTTTAAGATCATAACTATTGGAGCTCAATTTGAGCTTTGCTTTAGTTCAGGTCACAATGAGATTATCAAGCAGATTGTTTTGTAACATAAATGAGCCTTTTGAAGACAAATCAGGACCCCTACTATTAAGTTGCTCGTTAGCTAACCTGATTATCCTTATCAACCTTATAAATCAACGCAACTTGTCAGGTAATTAAATGTGCCATATTAAGACTATTCACATATAAAACTATCAAGTTGTTTATTACCTAAATAAATTAGACTTGGCTCTTCTTAACGAGAAACTTGTTGAGCTTACGGAAATGAAATGAAACTTCAATTGAACGGGATACCAAACGAACATTAGAAACTATCATTTCAATGATCACAGATGAATAGTTCATGTTCATGAATGAAAAAAAAAAAAACTTATATAAGAAGTAACATGACTCCCACAATTTTTTTATATACGAAACATGAAGAGAGTGACTTAATTATTTATGAAAGGCAATATTAAGTTTACATGCATGGCGCACAATTCTTATGTATTTACATATCTCACACCTAAACTTTCATATTTACCTTTCATATTTCATATTTACACACATACCACTCAAATCTTTAATATCACATAAAAAATAGCTCTATTATTATTTTTAAAAGTCAAATACACCTTTTCACGCATAGTTTTGAAGCACTGAAGTGTTATGTGTATTAATATAAAAGTTTAGGTGCGAGGTATGTAAAAACATATGAATTGTGTGCTACGTATGTAAACTTCTCTGTTATTTTCCTTCTTGTCTTTATCACAAGCATTATGCTATAACAGGAGCAAGAAGAGCAAGAGAAACGAGAAGAAGAGGAATCTGAACAGGAATCTGAAGAGGATTCTGATGAAGATAGTGAAGTTAGAATGATCCGATTCATCAAATTTTTTATATGCGTTATGAGGTTACACCATTTTTTACTTATTTTTGCAGAAACGCAAAGGTACTGAAGGTCTCATTGAAATCCAGAACCCAAACTTGGTAAAATCCAAGAATGTGAAAGCTAAAGATGTCAGTGTAAGTCGTGTATTATTCTTTGGGGGCATTTACATACATGTCACCCCAATTCTTATGTATTTACATATCTAACACCTAAACTTTGTTTTTGACATTTATACCACCCAAATCTTTCATATGATATCAAAATTACTAACATTTTAACTTTTAAAAAGTGAAATACACATTTTCATGCATAGGTAAGGTGGTATCTACTTAAAAATTGAAGTTTAGGTGTTAGATATGTAAATACATAAGAACTGAGTGGAGTGGAATGTATGTAAATATTCCTATACTTTGTTTTTGATCTTTCTGCTTACGTAAAGCATGTAACTCTATGCTGAATGCAACTTGCTCGTCGTTGGTTAAACAGAGTTAATGCTTTCCGAACATTCTCTACTTCCACAGATTTCCTTGATAAACTTCAGATAAGCCAAATAATTAAAGTTTAGGTTCCTTTTAAGGAATTCATTATTAAAAGCTTCCCTGAAATATTTAGACTGCTAGTTCTACATACGGGCTTTGTGGTATGCTAAATGACCAAAAATTAAAAATAAAATCAATATCAAAATGATTATTCATTTTAGACATAATATCAACATTTAAGAGCTGCACTATTAGCTTGTTCAATTGATTCATTAACTGTAATAATATGTTTGAACAGATTTATTCAGCTTCATATTTAGAACTAATGTCTATGGGAAGCTTAGGTTCATACCTTGCCAAATATAAATTTAGGTTTATGAATTTATACTAATGCATGTATAGATTTTGGAGGATAAGACTAGAGAAGAGTTCAGGGAAAACTTGAATTATGAAGGTCTACATTGAAATCTAAAGGCCTTCGTTTGAGTAGATCTAAAATTGAATACATGGAATGTAATTTTAGTAGTATCAGCTTTAGTGACAGAGTTGTAATTATTGGTGATCAAATTATTAATGGCGTGAACATTTTAGATATCTTGGGTCTATTGTTCAAAGTGATGGTGATATAAATGGGGATGTTGTTAGCAGAATTTAAGCTGGTTGGTTGAAGTGAAGGAATGCATCTGGCCTATTGTGTGATAGAAAAGTACAGTTAATAGAAAAGTACAGTAGTACAGTTTAGACTCAAAGGAAAATTTTTTAAGATGGTGGTGAGACCTGCAATGCTTTATGGTGCAGAATGTTAGCCTTTAAAAGAGAAGCATTAAACAAAGTTAAGTGATGCTAAGATGATGCATAGGTGGATGAGTGACTTGACACTTAGATATAAAATGTGAAATGAATATTTCCATGATAGGGTTGATGTAGCTCTAGTGGAGGACAAGATTAGAGAGAGTCATCTTAGATGATTTTGGTTACATGAAACGTCGACCATCTGATGATCCGGTTAGGAAACTAGATGTTTTGGATTCGACTTCTGTTAAGAAAGACAGAGGTAGCCTAAAAAGACTTGGGCGTATTGTATAAAAAATGATTTTAATCTATTAGAATTAAATGAAAATATGACACTCAATAAGACACAATGGAGAAAAAGGATTTATGTATCCGACGAAACTTAGTGGGATAAAGGCTTGTTGTTTTTGTTGTTGTTGTTGTTGTTGCATATATAGTTTTTGATTTAGCAAACATTGATAAAAAGTTAAATTGTAATTGCAAATAATTTTCTAGATCTAGTACTTTCTCAAAAGAATATTTTCGAATTATAGTTTTTCCAATAAGATCATATTCAATCCATAAATTCTTGTGCTAATGTGCTATTAATAGACTTTAGATGAGAAGTTGTTGATTTTTTCTTAGTTATTAGCCAGGTGTAAGTTCTAACATATGATGGTATATTCTTTTTTAATATCTAAAGCTATAGATAAAGCTTCATGTAGTGTAATTCTTATATTCCACTAATCAAAGAAGGTAGATTAAAATTTAAATCAACATAATGATTGAATTGAACCCGTGGAAAATCGAACTAGTAGTGAACATCTCATTTTCATTATCTTATTTTTGACACTTGACAAATAAAAATAATAAAAGGTAAATTACATACATTACACCCAATTCTTATGGATTTACCTATCGCATATCTAAACTTTCATTTTTACACACATATCACTTTACCTATGGATGAAAAGATGGATTTGGCTGTTAAAATGTGATAATGAGTGCTACTTTTCATATAATGTTTATAATTATAAAAGTTTAGGTGCGAGATAGGTAAATATGAAAGTTTTGAGTGCTATGCATGTAAAAGCCCCAATAATAAAATAAAATAACTAACAAATAATAAAACCAATCATGGCTTGCACAAATCATTCACCTGCTTGGTTCTTTGGACGAATATGAACTTACAGATCGGCTTTTGATATTGATTATGATGAAGATGATTAATTTGTCTATTTCTGCCCAGATTAAATTTATATTGTTTATGTTTTGTTATAATGTGAACTTTATTTAACTTGAAGGTATCGTGTTTTATTTTTTAGTTTGAGAAGACATCGGAGCTCTCAAGGCGTGAAAGGTTTGTGAGTGCTTTTTCTCTTCTTCTCATTTAATCAGCTCGTTTCCAATCAATCTTTCCATGTCAATTTTTTCCTTAAAACTTCAGAGATATTTTCCTTGAGAATGTCGTACTAGTGACATTTTCCCTGTGAATGTCATACTGGTCCTTGTTTCGGTTCTTTTGCTATGTCATTGTAAAGAGCAGGCAATCTTCATCTCTTATGGACAAACTATTGGGGCATTTAAATAGATATCACCCAATTCCTATGTATTTACATATCTAAGACCTAAACTTTACTTTTTTACATTTATACCTACCAAATCCTTCATATCACAATAAAAATACCACTATTTTAATTTTTAAAATGTGAAATAGACCTTTTCATGCATAGATAAGGTGGCATATATATAAAACTTTAATTTTAGATTTTTAGATATGTAAATACATAAAATTGCGTGGTGTGTATGTAAATCTTCCAACTATTTCAGTCTGGGTCATTCAGAAAGTTTGCTGGTAACATTAAAGCAGCTGTAATCTTTCAATGGTTAATAAAATTAAACTGAAAGTAACAAATTCATTTTAATCACATTAGAGAAGTACTGGAAATAACAAATCAATGTTGGATTATTGTAACTGATTTAGGTTGGTTTGCTTAGATTAGAACAGTCTTTTGAATTAAATTGATAGTTAGCTGCAAGCTGGTATGAATAGCAGCTGAATTTAGCAAATTTTTTGGCCTGTTCTGTTGATATTTTGTTGTTGCTCTGTTTTCAAATTTTGAAATATTATAAGTTTGGGACATTTACATACATACAACGCAATTCTTATGTATTTACATGTCTAACACCCGAATATATCTTATATGCATACCACTCAAATCTTTAACATCACATAAAAAACAGTACAATTACTATATTTTAAAAGTATAAAATGCATAGGTTTATGACACCCAGGTGTTATTAAGTGTAAATATCAAACTTTGGTTGTTAGATGTATAAATAAATAAGAATTGTGTGGTGTGTATGTCAATTTTTCTATAAGTTTTTCTTGTGCAGGAAACGTTTAGCGGAAAACTTTTTAATATATATTTCTCAGGCACCTCTTTCATGACTTCAATAATCATGGAAAATACACTTGTAGATTAGTTCGATTTTTTTTTTGAAGTAATAATGGTTCTATTTTATATCAAACAACACGACACAGTAAAAAAAACTATACTAAAAGGCTAAGAGCTTCTTTTTTTTTGTTTTGAATAGTTCGTTTTCTAATATGGAATTACAGTTGTACATCATTAGTTGTGAATCCTGTTACATTAAAAATGATAGCCGAAGAATTTATCAATTTGTAATTCAGAGGAAAGTCAAGTTTAGTGAGCGCTCGGCTGCAACCCCCATTAATGTGTGCTAGTATAATCCTGTAAAAAATGTAGCAGCATGATGTCTCTCTCACTCATTTAAGTCGACGCAAATCCTGGTAGGGGCTTTGATGGGGATATTTTATTTAAGGGCTATTTTGTGGGCAATGAAATGAGTGCATTGCATTCATTTTGCATTAGTTTTGGAAATCCAAATATTTGGTTGGAAGAAAAATAAATGCAGTGTAAAGTTACAATGCATTTGGGATTCATTCTCTAGTTTAATTTCAATATATTTTGAATTTGTTGGATTTGGCCGAATTCCAAATATACTGCTTTGTTTAAAGTGTTGTTCTCCACTGGATGCCATGCACCAAATAACTCGTAAGCATGTCAAATATAATGCATTACTTCTATATTGCATTCCATCTATGCAAACCAAACAACCCCTTAATATTGTGCTGACTCTTTTCTTGAAAGGCTATGATATCGAACACACTATAGCACCACCTCCTATATATGTTATTGTTGTCATGGGAAATTTAAGGTGTTAATAGTATTTGCCCATTTCAGAAAATGTAACAAAATTTATGATTATATTCTTGGTTTATCAGTTGGTGCTAAACCAATCATTTTAGTTATCTGATTGTTGTATCTACATATCTAATCCGTCTCTTAGCTTTCTTTAAATTTTTTCTTGTTTGCCATTGTTAATAGCATTGTTGTTTATTTTAGGGAGGAGATAGAGAAGCAAAAAGCTCACGAGCGATACATGAGGCTCCAGGAACAAGGAAAAACTGAGCAAGCTAGAAAAGATCTCGGTAAGCTTTAACGCTCATTTGCCTTTTATTTTATTTTAGGGATACTTAACATACCTATGTTCATATCTCACGTCTAAGCTTTTATATTTGCATACATAGTACTTTTGTGCTAAACTTATGCATAAAAATGTGCACTATTTTTTTCCTCATAACATACATTCCTCCTTATATGTGATAAATACACTTTTATTAGAATCAAAATAAAATACAATATTATAATAAAATTATAGAGAAATTATTATGCATTTGTTTTATGTAAGGTTCTTTACATGCATACTTCTAAATGTCTGGCAATAATCTGATATTTTTCTAGGAAAACTAATATACAACTATTTATGCAACAGTGGTAACATGATTGTTTACTATAACATGCACCTCTTTGTAATCTAAATCTAGCTGAACTAGAGCATGAATGAAATTAAGCATAAAGTTTAAATAATGAGAATTATTGAAATTTGGAAATATGATTGCTCTCATTGAACTTTACGAGACCCTTTATGTGCTTATTCCTTCACTTAATCACCATGGTGATTCTCTAAAAGTTAATATTGTCATTCAATTAAGATCTAAAATATTTTTAAAGTATACATTAATTTAAGCATTTACTTACAACTATTGATAAAATCATAACATACATCTAATCACTTTCCCCTATTTGAAAACTCCACAATCCAAATTATTATTTTTGCATCAAAAGTTTGTCAATCTAAGATTGTTAATTCATAATGTTAATATTAATTTTGTAACTTTTTAATTGAAATAACTTATATAAATAAAAATTTAAATTTTATCTCCTTCACTACAATCAATTCCTCACTTCAGTCCAAAAGCCTTCCTTATCTGATTTCTAGTTTTATTAACATAATCCCAAGTTACTATTTAATTTCATATCAATTTAATATATAAAATAAATCCCCAAAAACACTTTTTATACACTTACCTATGAGCATCGGTTTAGCCAAGTCCCGTCCTCCTCCTTTGTATGAACTTGCACGTAGTGTTGCTAGGCTTCAACTTCGCTTGAGATGCTATCGCATGACGTGTGAGGCTTCCTCTTATTCCTACAAGTGGCGCTGCCCTGCCCTTTCCACATGCCGCGTCATCGACGTGTCTTGTCCTTCACACATGACGCCAGCTTTTTCAATCTTAGGTGAACCCACAGTAAGCGGTGATGTTGACTTCTCATGTAAGCACCCACATAGGAATCCCTCTTGGTAGGTTTTCCCGCACGGTATGATTTCTCGTCTCCATCCACTTCTTTCACACACAGGAACCTCCTCGACGACATGTTCTTTCCCTCACGAACGCTGCCCTAAATCGCGTTCCCTTTCCTTCCTCATCTCACAAAACCTTAAAATTTTCTTCCACACTCAGAGCACTCTCATTCTCGCCTCTCTGGTTGATTTTTTCACTTCGAATAATGTTCAAAAATAGGACATACGGCTCTTAAGATAACCTTAGGGATGGTTTTCCACATTTTATTTTATTTATTTATATTTTTTAATTTCAGTTATTACAATCTCCTCTCATAAAATTGTCCTCAAAATTTATTAACTTCACACCAGCTAAATATTATGCAGATTAAGCATGATCTATTCAAAAATCTTCAAAAAAGTCTAATTCTTGTGGAGTGATAATGAAAGCAAATTTGATAAATCCAATATCTATGATAAGATAATTCAATTGAACAATTCCCATACTTTTGAAACATAATAACATAACTAAAATAACACCAAACTTCTGAAATCAAGATATATAAAGATGCTCAACACCAGACAACTAACATGAAATTCAAATGACAGAAGATAACATAGCGCCTAAATAATGAATTCATCCATCAAACTTGATGTATGAACATCAACAACAGTGTGTTCTTCAGGTTTTTAATGAGCTAAGAAATAGTCTCTCGTTTGAGTGTTCTACTTATGTTGCTTCTTATGAGTCACAGTACCAGCTTCTGTCATCCTCTGCTGACCAATACTAAAATTAGATCCTTTTTTAAAATTCCTCTAATTTGAATCTCTTCCCGAGTTAGCATTTGATGTGGATCTCCGAGCAAAATTAGGGTACTTTTTCATCTGATGTCCAAGCTGTCTGCATAAATAACACACCTTCAAACAAAATAGAAGTTCACTACGATGTATTTCTTAAACTTAGTGTAGGGCTCTATATTATTGTTGCCAACCTCGCTAATAACTCTACCAGTGTAGTACTTTATCTTCTTTTTATTTGACTCTCGAGAAAAAACTATTGGTGACAATTCTTTCAAACTCTTCCTCTTGTGTATATTCTTACGAACCTGAGTCTGTTAAAAGTCAATCTCCACCCGCCTAGCCCTCTCCACTAGCACTAAATAGTCTTCATCCCAATCGACACTAGTTTTTTCTTGATTAAATCATTCAATCCATCTGAGGCATTTCTCTTGTGTGTTTGGAACGAGTTGTGGTACATATCTCAATAACATAGTAAACTCCTTTTCTTACTGCATAACCGATCGATCTCTCTGCACCAACCTAATAAATTTTTCCTCCATCTTTCTACTAACTGACTGTGATAAAAACCAATCCTTGAAGATTCTCACATACTCGTCCTATTGTACCAAGGGGCTAGGTAGATTGCCAAATTTCTCCCGTAATTGACCTTGCCATTATCTCTCAGCTTCCCCATCAAAAGCAAATGTGACAAGTGTAACTCTCCTCTTTGGTGGATGTGACAATTCATTTATAATGTTCTCCACTCTCAATAGCCGATTATTAGCATCCATTGGACTTTCTCCAAAAAAGATGTGTGTTCTCATATCTTAAAAGTGGTTCAAACACTTGTCAATCGGTGCCCCTCCATTGCTACTAACTTGAGATTAAGAATTCTTAATCAACTGAGTCACAACATTCATCATATCAGAAATGCATCAACACTGATTGTGACATATCAGGGTTTATCAAATTCAACATTATCATTCTTGACCTTTTTCTTCTAATCATCAATAATTCTGAAATAACAATAAAATAATTTAATTAAACTCTGTTGAAATTTTAATGTATATTATTTATAACTTAATTCAATCATTCTATTGGCTCTTTCATTAAAATTCATATTAGTTAATTTAAACTTTTGCTCTCAAATCACTGTTGTCACGAGAATTAATCAAGAATGGAACAGACGATCGGATGGTGGATATAAATTTTATGTTATTCTATTTATATCACTAATAGTTTAATATTCAAGTATTCATAAAAAAATCACTAAAAAAAATAATTTAATTAATAAATAGAAGTTATATCTTTTCAGTTGCTGTTTTTGTCTCGTGTACACGTTATCTCCTCTTTTATTCATCTTATTAAAAAACTTAAATCCTGAAACATGTTAAAACAATATAATGAGTTATCTAAAGATAATGTAGAAGCAATCAGATTTTTAAACTATAGCAATTTAGTGAAAATAAAATAATATGCATAATAGTCTTTCATATTTCTATAAAAAAACTTATAATAATCTAATGTATGTATTCATGTCATTTATTTAATAGAAATAATGTAACCTTCTATATGATTAACTTTAACTTCACTTTTATTTTATACTTTTAAAATTCACATGTCTTAGGAGCACCGTCAAAACATAATCTAATACATCCTTAGCCGATATTATTCTATCGGTACAACGATTTGTGATCTAATTTGCATAATTGTCTGAGTTGAAAATATGCCTACTCGCCTCTAGTTGATATTCTCATGTCCGCACAGTGGTTAGTGATCAAAACACCACAATTGTCCGGGGTGGTAGGATAACATCTATATCTGCGGTTCCACTGACGTCTCCTGTCTATATCATAAGGGGGTGAACTCTTCTTGACATACATATACAGATATTCATATATACACTATTTTATTCTTTATAACATACATTTGCTTTCATTTAATAATGAATGAATGCACTTTTCTTAGAATGAAAATGAAATACAATAATATAATAAATTTATGGATAAATTATTATGCATTTCTTTGATGTTAGATTTTTTACATGCGTACTTCTAAATATCATGTGATAATTCGATGTTTTTCTTGGAAAATTAATATACAACTATTTATGCAACAGTGGTAACATGCATTCTTTCTCTAATGTGCAACTATTTATCTTGTATACATTTCTTATCTAACAATATGAATAATCTATGGTAATTTAAATCTAATTGAACTAGAGCAAGAATGAAATTTATTATACAATTTGAATAATAAAAATTACTAAAATTTAGAAATATAATTACTCACATTGGCCTATAGGAAGCCTCTTTGTGTGCTTATTTTTTCACTTAATCATCTTGGTGATTCTCTACAAATTATTTTCATTTAATTAAGATCTAAAGTATTTTCAAAGTATACATTAATTTAAGCATTTACTTGTAACTTTTGATAAAACCGTAAACATAACTCTGACCACTTCTTTCTCTTATTTGAACTCCACAATCTAAAATACAATCCCTTTGCATCATAAGTTTCTCAATCTAAGATTTTGCATTCATAATGTTAATGTCAATTTAATAACTATTAATCAAAATAACTTATATAAATAAAAAATTAAACTTTACCTCCTTCCCTGGCATCAATTCCTCACTTCAATCCAAAAAGCTTTATATGATATCTTATTTTTATTAACATAATCCTAAGTACTTAATTTCAAATCAATTAATATATAAAAAGATTATCCTTAAAAACACAATGTAACACTTACCTATAAGCATCAAGCTTCCTCTCCTTTGTTTGAACTCGCACTTAGTGTCTCTATGCTTCTTCTATTGAGATGCCTCCTGTGCGGAGGCGCTCCTAGTTTGACAAAATGTGAGGCTTCCACTTATTCCTACAAGATGCACGAGCCGCTCGCTTCTTCTTCCCGCAAGCGGTGCAGTCGTGCCCGTCCTGCATGTCACGTCGACGTGTCTTCTCCTTCATGCACGATGCTAGATTTCTCAATCTCATGCTAAACCACAACAAGCGGTGATGTTGACTTCTCATGCAAGCACCCACAGAAGAATCCCTCTTAGTAGGTTCTCTCACACGTGGTGGTTTCTCGTCTCCTTCCACTTCCTTCTTGTATATGAACTCCTTGGTGGCATCTTCTTCACTTCACGAGCACTTGCCATAAATTATGTGTGCGAGCTTCGCTGGCTCCATTTCCTATCTTTTCTTTTTCTCCTCGTTCGTCCTCCTTCCTCTTCTCACGAAACCCTTAAATTATCTTCCATACACGAGCACTTATGCTCTCTCCTCTCTAGTTTTTTTCTTTGCTTCGATTAATATTTGAAAATGGGACTTACGACTCTTAAGATAACCTTAGAGACAGTTATCTGTGTCATTTGATATTTTGTTTTGTTTATTTATTTATTTATTTTAATTTCAATTATTACAATGTGTGAGACGTGTAAATACATAAGAATTGTGTGCTATGTATGTAAAGGCCTCTTTATTTTATTTTTGCACATCTATTTCTATAATTATGTTCCCAATTGAAGGGAAACAATTGAATATTCTTTATTCCTTTGCTCGTCAATTGGATGAGATTGAATAGTTGGATTTTGTAACATAATATAATTATATTGTCATAATGTAAATTTATATAATGCCACGACCGAACTCAATGATTAAAATTAATCAAGGTGGGTACAGACGCGCGGATAGTAAAATTATTATTTAGTTTATAATCCATATCAAATGAAATTAAGAACCACTAAAGAAATCAATTAAAATAATATAATTTATTTGTTTATCTTAGCTCAGATCGTTCACATCTTATATACACATTTTTTTATTATTGTTTATCTTTTAATAAAATGATTAAATATATAATGTTAATTTAAAGCAATAGTGAGCTAAAAATGTCAGCAAGTATATCTATACTTAAACGACTATAACGTAAAAAAAATGAAACAATATTTATAACAATTAAACTTTTAATAAATATGTATAAAAACATTTTGATAATATATGAATATGATCGGTCATGATATTTCATAACATTCAATATATTTTATTATATTAATAACATGTCTATGTCATTTTATATATGTACTATCTTTCATAGGAGCGCGGTCTAAAATTGTGTCAATTAAGGTACATTAATATGAATATGATTTTTCAATTATATGCATGAGTGCATTAATGTTTCCGCATCAATACCGCAAAGAGGCGAACTCTATCATAGCCAAATATGTATGTACAAATAATCTATATAACACATATCATTTATACATTTTTTCATTCACTTTTTACATTTAAATAATCCATAACATTAGTATTTCTAGAAAGATATATGATGCTCGAAATTGCTGCGAAGTAATCGGTAAATTATTCAAATATACATGTCGATCAAGTAATATACAGATAAAGAGTTCATGTATCAATCCCATGATGATAGGTGTCGTCATAATAGCAAAAGTTCTAGTATACTACACCGTTGGATCTTGTTCGAAGTAATCTTAAGTGCAAGAAGGAAAATCCTAACAATTATAAAATAGCGGTAACATAAATAACAGTACATAACTTTTGAGTCCTTTAGAGGCAATGAGCCTTATGCTCATGTGACATCAATATAGTATTCTTTCTATATTTTTCGTATGAGTTCCCTTACGTGATAGTTGACAACCTGGGATAATCCTTATTAAGTCATAAGAAAAGTTAGAAATCATATTACAGTTAGGAGGGACTTAACCATACAGTATTATTCGAAATAGAAATAAATTTGGTCATTTATATATGACCAAATTTGGTGCTACAATTGTTAGTGTTTAAGGGAAATTTTCATATGTAGTATACAATTTTTATGTATTTACATATCTCACATCTAAACTTTCATATTTACATACATAACACTTTAGTGCTTTAAATCTATTCTTGAAAAAATATATTTCACTTTTAAAAAATGATAATAGTGTTATTTTTTTATGTGATATTAAAACTGAGTGCTATGTGTGTAAATAGGAAAGTTTAGGTATGAGATATGTAAATACGTAAGAATTGTGTGCTATGTATGTAAATGCTCCTATTGTTTTTTAAATCAGATTTTGTGGGTTGTCCTACCCTTTAAAATGCAGGCTTTTTTGCTATGACATCTACGAGATTAAAAAGAATAAAGAGATTCCGCCCAATTTATTACTTTTTAGAAAGATTTTCATATTATTGAATCCAAATTTATCCTGTGAGTCATGCCCAATGATCGAAGCGGTAAGGACTTTGAGGGAGGAAAAGAAAGAGGTAGAGAGGGGAAAATGAATAAAATAACACGTATAAACTTATTTTGTAGGGTCGTATTGGGATGTTCTCGGGCTCTTTGTTCATTTTTATATATCAAAAATAGTGATTACATTGAGAATGAGAGAGACTTCTCCCTGCATGAGAAAAACTAAGAGAGAAGAGTCCTCTTTCTACATGTTATGGGCTCCTTATTTATAGTAGAAAGAGTGACCAAGTCTAAAATTATATTATTGCCCTTACTTTAATAGGAAAGTTACATGTTATTATGTTCTTTTTATTAATGTCTTGTTTTAACATGGTTGTTATAAATCTTTATGATGATTTTCTAGTCATAACTGATTTTTGGCATATTTTTTGTCATCTATCTTTTTATCTGGACTGTTAGATTGTCTCGAGATTTGTGCAAATCATTTTTAGGTGTACATATTAAGTTTTCCAATTTTGTTGCTCCTTGATATCGATAGCTGCGATAAAACAAGAAATTTTTTAGAGGAAAAAACATGATTACATGAATCACTGATGATGCTCCCTGTTTGGGCGCTTCCTGTGCTATGTTCTGGTCTCTTTTGCGCTGCCCCGTTGGCTTTTAAGCATTTTTCTCTTAATCAATTCTTTGGTTTGTGTTGTGTTTTGGTATTCGCTTACGTTGATTTGGTTGTCTATATTGATTGGTAGGGAAATTGTCAGTCGTGATATCACCAAGGAAATTGTCAGTCGTGATATCACCAACTCAAGTCTTAGTCTTCACCAATTTTATTTTCTAGGCCAGACTGTTTGTTGCTCGCTCATCCCGTGGTTTTTCATTTGCTCGCCCTAGGAAGAGTCTTTTGTTTGCTCGCTTCGGAGTGAATTTTTTTTTCTCTTACTCACCCCGAAGGAGAGCTTTTTGGTTTTTTGCCCCGGAGGGGAGTCTTTTGTTTGCTAGCCCCAGATATTTTTTTTTTTAACTAGCATCGGAGGAGAGTTTTTTATTTGCTCGCTTCAGAACGGATTCTTTTGTTGTCTCCCTGGAGAGGAATCTTTTGTTTGCTCGCCTCAAAGGGATCTTTTTGTTAAAGTTTTGTTCGCTCACTCGAAATCAAGTTCCCTGAGTGTCAGTTGAACTTGGAACAATGCTAGAGAAATTTGTGTCATAACACAAGATAAGTTGTGAAGTAACACTCAACTTTTTTTTGCTAGATGACGTGTCAGCTGCTTGGAATTAACCAAATGGCGGTTGACTAGCTTGTTTCGACCGTTGGGAGTCAACATCCGTTTTGCGGTACTCTCCTCCTAGCCAAACCTCTAGGAAGACGACAGAAACGACGTTTCTAACTCCGGATCTGTTGTTGCATGAACTCTTTAACGTGCTTTCTGTTACGAGTGTCTCTGAGATATTTTTCCTCGTTGTTGTTGTTTTCCTTCTTGTTGGTACCACACTCACCACATCTTTTAAGATGTTGAATTCAAATCTGTCTTGCGAGGCATATCCAAGGATCGAAGCGGTAGGGACCTTAAGGGAGAAAAATAAAGAGACAAAGAAGGGAAAATAAATAAAATAACACGCATAAACTTGTCCCGTAAGAGCGAACTGAGAAGTTCCTGGGCTCTTTGGCCCCTTTATATATCAAAAATAACGATTACATTGAGAAGGGGAGATGTTCTCCTTACATGAGAAAAGTCGAGGGAGAAGAGCCCCATTTTTATATGCTATGGATTCCCTATTTATATGAGAAAGAGGGAACAAATCTAAAATTACATGTTTGCCCCTACTTTAATGGGAGAGTTACATGTTATTATGGTCTTTTTATTAATGTCTCACTTTAATAGGAAGTTACATGTTTTTATGGTCTTTTTATTAATATCTCACTTTAGTAGGAGAGTTACGAGTCTTTATGTTGTTTTTATTTGGACATTTAGATTGTCTCGAAATTCATGCAGGTCATTTTTAAGCGTACACACATACCACTAAATTCCTATATATTTACAAATCTTAGCCTAAACTTCAACTTTTACATATATGACATCTTACTTATGATTGAAAAAGGCGTATTTCACTTTTGAAGACTTATAATAATGAGATGAAATATTTGGTTGATGTAAATGTAAAAATATTATGACATTTAATAGGACACAATGGAGAAAAAAGAAATGTAAAAAGTTAAATTTTGGTGTTAGATAGGTTAATTATAGGACTTGGGTGGTATGCATGTAAATGTCCCTATTTTTTAATCCATCATTTAACTTCAGTTCACTTTTTTCAGATCGACTGGCCATGATTCGACAGCAACGTGAAGAAGCTGCCAAGAAGCGCGAAGAGGAGAAGGCTGGTAAGTAATTATTTATTATGATTGTTTTACTTGTCGTTATGCATAGTCCCTTTGCGATATTAAGGGGCCATTTGGTCATCTTTTTTATTTTTTAACATTTATTTAGGCTAATCTTTGAAATAAAAAATATATTTGATTTTATGCTTTCAAAACAACGATAAAACAAATGCAATTCATTGTAAATAGTTTAGAAGTTCAGTTTGGGCTATTTATTTATTATTGAAATTAAATAAATAAAAAATATATTAAAATATATTTTTCCGATTATAAATAGTAATAATGTTTAAATATTTTTAAAAACATTAATATTTAAAAAGTAATCAAGGTCTTAAATTTAATGATTTTTATCATTTAAATTTTACGCAAAAAAGTATGTTTAATTTGCTCCTAATTTCAAGTATGTGGTTTTACTGGATTAGGCCACCTAGTACTCAGTATTTAAATGACCATTGCAACATTGGGATCAGTCATATTTAGTGGCATATACTTCTGCTGTCTATATTTACATTGTTTATGGTAGATCCTATGTTCTCTGAAGTTCTTATTTTCTTTGTTGGGATACTTGGGATGCATTTTCTTGATTGTTCTTACACTGCTTGGGATGAGAGTTGGTAGCCTTATTGATAATAATTTGTTCGTCTACTCTATGATTGACTTATGCATTTGTTCTTCTACTCCATGATTTGTTCCCATCGACGGTGTCGATTTAAAATATGCATGATAGTAGAATGAGTTTTACGTTTTAGCTTTGTATGAAGATCCCACATATGAAATAAACTATTCGGAAGAGATATTAGAGTTTTTATATGAAAATTTTGAAAGAGAAAAAAATCACAAGGTCTAGCCTAATTGGAATAGTCTACTTTGTAATTGAGATTTTAGAGGCTCGTTCGTCCATTCAAATGGAGAAGACTAGTTTATATAGTATGGAATATAAACTTGACCTTATGTGAATGCAGTGGAGAATACCAAGGTTTATTGAAGGGTGATTATTGTAGTTGAGCGATGTTAGTTGGGCATCGCGATTGGTTAGCATTGGACGTTGTGGTTCGTATGATTGCTCTTAAACTAACATAGTTGTGCAACATTAAATGAACTATGGTTGTCGAGTGATGGCGGTCATACATGGTGGATGTGTCATGGTGCTAGTGTGACAATAGAAGTGCTATGTAGGTCAGGCGAAGACAGTTGAGTAATGAGAATTTGACAGTGGTAGTTGAGTAATGATGGTTCATTGATTGTTGGACTGGGCTTTTAAGTTCAGATTTATAATCTCTTTATATCCATATCATTTTTTATAAAAAATGGCGCCGTCTTTTATAATTTTTTTCGGGTGACATTTTATAATTTTAGCCTATCCCCTCTATCAAAATATTATGTTGGTTTCTTTAATCATGAATCATTTCTCTAACATATAAGGATCTTAATAACTTTAGAATTAAATAATCTTGGACTCGTTGGATGCCTCTTGTCGAGTCTTACATATTGACAAGCGCATGAGATTTAATGATCATTTTGTCCTTTAAATAGCATCATGAAATTTTTAAATTCACTTCAAGTGTTTGATTTTATGCTCATTTGGACTCGGATTAAATTTTTGTCATTGGGTTTATATCATTGGCACGCTTTTTTCGAGTATATTTTTGTCGAAGTATGAGTTTAGACTGTTCTGAATTTAATTCCGGAAATTTCTAATTTAAATATTACATGTCATTTCTGTTTTAAATTCTTATTTCGCATAAAGGATATTTAAAGGGATCTATGGATTTAGGAATAATGTTGGTTTCTTATACATCTACCCATTCTAATAAATTCTTGTTTTTATTTAAACATTTGTCTGGCAGCAAGCTTATTAGAATTCCGGTTATTATACCGAGAATGAGATGGATCTAATTTTTTATGCTAACCTCAACCTTTTAAATTTCATAAGCTCTAGCAGTTTAGATTTTCTGGAGGAGAATATGGAAAAGAGAAATGCAATTTCGAAATTTACTGATTGTTTGAAACCAAATACATTTGATGTTGTCATAGAACTGTCTTATAATTCTGATTGATGATGTATAAAGATAAAATTAGATTTTTATAGGGCTTCTAAACTTCCTGATCATCTTTTCATTTTTATGTACTTAAAAAATTATTAAATCAAAATATTAAGGGGCAATTTCACACATATCACTCGAAATTTTATTATTCACAAATCCGGCACCCCCTTTCATCTATTTTTCAAGTTCTTACTTAAATATCAAAATTCA